CGTGGAAACAATATTTCTTTTTGGAAATACCCGACTCTTCAGTCTCTCTCTCTCTCTCTCTCTCTCTCTCTCTCTCTAACATCTCATCTCATAATACACTGTAATAACAGTTAGGAATCGACGACAAAAAAAATATATAATATTAAATAAAAATAATAGTCGACGGAGTCGTGTATTGTGTTTGGAAACCGAGTGAACGACTCCGACAACTACTATACCACTACTACCGATGCTATTCAATGCCCAACCAGTCCCTCAGCATCTCTCACATACAGTACACCATCACTACTATTACTATAGTATTGCTTATTATTATTACTATTACCAGACCTTAAGGATGAGTACACTATAAGGTATGGCACAAGTCATTAGTGGACGAAATGAATGTATGATTGAATGAAATGAATAGAAAAACGCAGAGAAGAAATGTTTCAGTTATTATAACAATTTTTTTCATCATAAAGTTATGAGTCTCTCTCTCTCTCTCTCTCTCTCTCTCTCATGATTATTATCAAAAACTAAAATACAGTTATAGTTATTATTAAAACACTTGTTAAGCAACGGTACACTATGTCATTGTTTACTGTATTGGGGTTTGGAGTACAATACAATGTATGGGAACTGTCAAAACCAGTACACTATACAGACATATAGATTAAAAGCATCTCTAGTTATATAAGACTCGATGCAATAACTTTGACTCCAAGTATAAAAACTTTTGTGTATAGATTTTGTATTATTATTGTGTACATGTTTTGTCGAGAGAGAGAGAGAGAGAGAGAGANAATTGGGGGACAGGGAGGGGACAGTTGTGTTTACCTAAACACACGGCGAGAGACAGGAAATTGTGAGTTAAATCAATCTAACATTCAGAGAGAGAGAGAGAGAGATGCCATTTACTTAATACTTTACAAATACATTAATATTAACATTGTTTCAGAAAAAACACAAAATACAACTGAGAGAGAGTTAAGTATTGGTGAAATGAAATACATTTTCAAAGATAAAGGGATAGAAAAATACATAATAAATATACAAAAGTCAACGGACTTTACTTTTTATGCGAGAATAATATACTTTTCGAGTGAAATAAAACAAAAGTATCATAAAATTTGAGAGACTTTTGCATAAATAAGATGCGAACGGGTATTGAATTTATAGATATATTTGTTATTTTGGCTCAAAAATTGAAAAATCTTTTCCATTAGTCGAGAGAGAGAGAGAGAGAGAGAGAGAGAGAGAGAGCGATATTACCGGCTTAGGTCTTTGTAAAAATGTACGTGAGCATTAAATGAAGTGCAGGCTGAGCAGAGAGAGAGAGAGAGAGAGAGAGAGAGAGAGGAGAGAGAGAGAGAGAAGGAGAGAGATATGCCATTTACTTAATACTTTATAAATACATTAATATAATGTACATACACTATAGCGTACTTTACAGTGTACACCATATAAACTTTATATTGTGATTCATAAATAACATTGTTTAAATAAAAACACAACTGACGAGAAAGAAAGTTAAGTATTGGTGAAATGAAATACATTATCAAAGATAAAGGGATAGAAAAATACATAATAAATATACAAAAGTCAACGGACTTTACTTTTTATGCAAGAATAATATACTTTTCGAGTGAAATAAAACAAAAATATCTAAAATTTGAGAGACTTTTGCATAAATAAGATGCGAACGGGTATTGAATTTATAGATATATTTGTTATTTAGGCTCAAAAATTGAAAAATCCTTTCCATTAGTCGAGAGCAGAGCAGAGCAGAGCAGAGAGAGAGAGAGAGAGAGAGAGAGAGAGCACAGAAATTTTATACTCAATTCCCATACATGGCATTAGAGGATCTCTCTCTCTCTCTCTCTCTCTCTCCCCTAATAGTTATGTTATATACATAAAAGTTATGGTATATTATAAAATCCAAATGCATTTTCATATAGTGTACTCTCGTTTATATAAATATCCAGTGGGAGAGCAAAGTGATAGAGTACTAGACTATGGGCACCGGTATGTATACTGAGCACTGATTTGGCCAATATTTTATTTATGACATTTGAATAATACAAATAAATACATATAATTTTTTCGCCCCGAATATAATTCGCATGCATTTTGAGTATAAAAATCAATGAAAATAAATAACAAATTTCTAAACCATTTCGTGATTGGAGTCAACAAAATAGAGACATATATTTTGTGTAATACGTTATACTCTCGATATTGTTAACAATTTTACAGAGAAAATGAAGTTTACGTTATATAACACTATAATCAGTGTATATTATAGTGGGATATGTAGTGTATAATAATATGGTAAGATAACGTATACAAAAATCATCACGATCGAAATGTTCTCGTTGTCTTAGTTTACATTTATCAAAATCGTCTGCAAAATATATTCACTAGAAATACAAAACTAAATGCAAAACACATGAAAACTTTTCACAAATATATATTTTGTTTGATTTTTTCCACAACTTTCGGTCGCAATCGCGTTGTGAATAACTAACATATATTTTGATAGTAAATATCACACATTATGGTAACTATTATTATGTATTGTCTGTAGGTATAAAAAGCTCAGCCTGCACTTCATTTAATGCTCACGTACATTTTATTTCGAGCCCTAAGCCTGTAATATCGGTCTCTCTCTCTCTCTCTCTCTCTCTATCGGTGTTTGACCCGTTGATTGAGATGTATTTGTATATAAAGACTATTGTATACCTAATATATACCATAAGCTGTGAATAAAAGTTGCAAATAAAAGTGTAAAAACAAATATAAATAAACGAGATTAAAAGGGATCTCTATTGACCATGGTGAAAAATTATTTGCATTATATAATATTGCATAATAAGACAGGAATAGTCAGATTTTAAATTCATGAATTTTTGCATAAATAGTTTATATAACAATATTGCAAAAATAGTTCACAATTTATGTTTGTATACCAAATATAATTCATCATAGTGATATTATTTAGAATATACTTAAACTGAGCACAATGATTGAGATGTGAAGGCTACTTGATTATCACATTTGATATTGATCATTTTATATTCACCGTACAGTCAACTCATAGATTGATTTGCATTATATTTATTTTACTTGAAAAAAACTTTTTATAAAATACACAAAAAAAATTTTCAATTCTAGTCTTCGCTATACTCACAGACTATGCAAACAAAATACTAGTGCGAAATGGGGGGACACGGGAGGGGACAGTTGTGTTTACCTAAACACACGGCGAGAGACAGGAAATTGTGAGTTAAATCAATCTAACGTTGAGATGAGATGAGAGAGAGAGAGAGAGAGAGAGAGAGAGAGAGAGAGAGAATCTGTATATAACTAAAATAAATGTGATATTCAATGTCTGGCCAAATGTTTTCAATGAATTTTAACAGTAAAGTCAAAGTACGTGAAACTGTCGTTATTTGTACACATAGGTAATGCTGTGTGCATTGGGTTAGGTTAACATATGCACAATATTAGGCAAAGGGTTACCAAAATTGCATACAATTGCATCATATCTATGCAATGCATACCAAGACAAAGGCAAATCCGTTGCCCAATTCACTAAGCTCGTACATGTCATATTATAACAGGTACACATAATTTAATAATTTGAAAACTAATTTATAAAGAAACTATATAAAACTTATTGTAAATTGTCACCTTGTTCATATAACTTTAGAACCATACTAAACGTTTTATAATAAATTAGTGTAAGTTCTCATATACCACTGATCACCATCATCACACAAACCAACATTTTGAACTTTATAATCCAGCAAGATTAATACATGGTAAGTGGAGAAAGTAATGTAAAACTACAAAGTTTAGATTAATAAAATCGTTTACATCGTTCTCAATATTATTTACTGACTGTTGTTCACAATAAAGTCGCTAAATTATGTATTAGCGAAGCTGGTCATATTCCTGATACTGTGTAAATTTGGTTTGTTATATACATATTGTATACCCAAAGACTGGGAACACGTAATGATTATGGCAATTGTGTCCGGCATCATGGACATTCACATTACCGATTTCAACATAATTGAACTCATATTTGGCCTTTGGGTAATGGCCAAAAGGATTACTATTTACCTGGTCGGTTTGTCCCTTATCTATTGGCTTACCTACATAAACACCACTTACCTGCATTCCCGAGAATACCCGCAATCCTATAAACCACATTCTTTATATATGAATTGTAGTTATAAATAATCCATATGAGTAACTTTATTTTATATAACTTATTATTACTAGTACAATATTATACAGTATAAGTATTCAACTATTTATAATCTAAAATAATCATGCACATAAGTGTTTTTAAATATTTTATAATCACAATTACTTTCAATTAAAAACAGTTTGTGAATAATATACTAATTTGTTTATAAGAAATTATTTATCCAAAACTCACTGCAAAATTTCTGGTCAACAAAACAAATACCACGAAAGTTATGAACACATAATCAATGCTATAAAATGTCTTTTTTAATTAATGAGTTAATGTGGACTTATATTACAGTATTAAAATTATAATGTAATGTATAATGTAATTATATATTACAGTATTTATATGGAATCCAATATTTTTTTAAGTTTGTAAGGATTTAATCGACCCAAATTGCACTGATTTAATTGTTGTAATGTACCATAATATTCTAAATATTGTATGCACTTAATATGAGATAAATTATACAAATATCATATTTACTGTATTTTAGCTAAATGATAAAATTTTTAACAGACAATTAATTTGACATTTTACATTGATCATTAAGCACATTACGCAATGAACATATTTTAATCGCCTAATCAATTATGAAACATGGTTGCAATACCATAATCAGTGCTAATGGTACAATCACAGTTTTTTTTATCTACCTGCAAAAGGTATATAAAGGGATGTGAACAAATCGCAAAATTATTAAATTGTTTTAGCTTATTCATAAAACATTTTAAAAATCAGTATAATTAAAGTTATAATGAAACCGGACAATAAAAAACAACCATCACTACTATTCACACCGATCAAAGTGAACGGGGTAACACTCAAAAATCGTATAGGGGTGTCGCCAATGGTCACGTGGCAGGCGGCGGCAAACGGTATACCCAATGATTTTCACCTAGCACACTACGGTTCATTTGCCCTGGGTGGAGCCGGACTGGTTATGGTAGAGTGCACAGCAGTCGAGCCCCGGGGGCGCATGGCATCGGCCGACACCGGCATCTGGAACGACGCGCAGGTGGACGCGTGGCGCCGAATCACCATGCTCATTAAATCGCAGGGCTCGGTGCCGGGCATACAACTGGGCCACGCGGGCCGTAAGGCTAGTACTACTAAGATTGTTAAACGATCGTTGTCGGACCACGAAAGTGGTTGGCCTACCATAGCACCCAGCGCTATACCATTTGGCGGTGCCATCGATAGGGTGCCCATTGAGGCCACACTGGAGGACATTGACGCTTTGCAACAGGCGTTTGTGTCGGCGGCCGTGCGCTCTGTTAGGGCAGGCTTTGAAGTATGCGTTAAAAGTTTAATTAATATACTGTGTATATAATAAAGTATGGTCAATTTTTGTATCTAGATAATCGAGTTGCATTACGGCCATGGTACTTTGAGCAACACGTTTCTGTCACCCATTTCTAACCATCGCGTCGACCGATACGGCGGTTCACTCGCGAATCGGATGCGCTTCGGCTTAGAGACAGTACGTCGGGTGCGGAAAGTGATACCCAAATCGATGCCACTGTTTGTGCGGCTGTCGGTCACCGATTACGCCGACAACGGCTGGTCAGTCGACGACAGCGTCGAGTTTGCCAAACAGTTGAGGGCCGCCGACGTCGATGTGGTCGACTGCAGCTCCGGCGGTGTTGTCGACGGTATTAATTACACGCCTTATAATACACCGGACGTACAGCACAGGGCGTCGGCGAGGATCCGGTCGGAGGCCGGTATCGCCACCACAGCTGTCGGCAAAATTGTTGACCCCTTGAAGGCCGAGGCGTTGCTTCGGGACAACAGCGCGACACTCGTATTCATTGGTCGGGCGCTACTAAACAACCCTCACTGGCCATACACTGCGGCCGACCTCTTGGCCACCGAACACACCTTTAAATATCCCGATTCCTATGACTGGTGTATCGGTTGGAAAGGGTTTTACAAATGGCGGCAATCATTGCAGAAAGATCAAAATAATAATTAATACTAATTAATATTTTATATTTATTGGTGTAATGATAATCAAGGCATTACTGAATATGCAAAATAAAGATTTTAAATGTCATATGTAATAGAAATTGTTAAAATGTGTGCTAAAATATTGTACTTATTTTTGATAAAATTAGTAATTAATAATCATCTTAATGTAAATGGTAAAATGGCAATGTTTATTTTAAAAATAATGTTTTATCAATTTTTCATATTACTGTTACAGTTTTACATTCATTTAATAAATGCATTAGAAAAATTATCAACGTTATCAACAATTTAGCTAGTATAAGAATTAATTAAATAATTTTTGTAAAATAGATAAATGTTCTAGCAAAATTGAAATGTTATTAGATATCGGCAAGAGTGTTGGGAACGCTCAAATCATCCTGCTGTTTATTGGTAATTAACGCATCAAATATTTCCAATAGTACCATTATTACAAAGCCAATCGTCATTCCAACAAGCTGACTTTTGATCAAATTAAAAAGGAGTCCAATTGAATTTAGTAGCATGAGCATAATGACTATGCCCTTATTTTCCCTGTATATGCCAACAAAGCCAACAATTGATAATAATAAGCCCAATCCAACCATTACTAGATGTGACGATTAAATTATCCTGTTATATATTGATTAATTTATTAAGTTACAATATTTATTAATTAAATTACTTAGCAGATAATCCACTGAATTTGGCCTTAACTCAATGGACAATAATGTTATAATATTGGCAATAATAGCCAATAAAAGCACTGTCAGCGTTATCTTGATCGCGGTCAGTTCGGTTTGTTTAGAAAACACCATGGTTAAGTTTGATGAATATTATTAATATGATTAATTCAATACCACTATAAATGTCAACATATAAATGAGTGAATGATTATAACGAAAAATTCAAAATATTTATTTTCAATAACTGTTATTTAACTAAACAAAGGAAAGGGTAATGTTAGGTATGAACAACATGGTTGATGGGCACAGGCGGGCTATGTGTGGTTACGTGAATGACCATGAACTCTGTGATTTCACTTGACTTACGCAATAACATACAGTATATCGAACACATAAATGCTTTAAATAAATATTTTAAACATTTTTTCTAATCACATGTATTTTTTAATTAAAATAATTTATTTTCAAAACTATTAGAATTTATTTATAAGAAATAATTTCTCCAAAACTGATCGCACTTTTCGTGAAACGGATTACTCGTGAGAAGACTATCACTGAATGGATTCATGTCTTTAATACTGATTACAGTCTTATTAACGATAAATTGCGGCCATTTGTCCAACGCTTCCGGTTTTCTGGTTATAATAAACAACAAACAAAACATCCAATTAGAGAGAGAGAGAGAGAGAGAGAAATACAATTATAAAGATTTTATATAGATTAAATATTAAATATAAATTTACTATCGTGGTAGATTGAGTGGCGTAAGTGTCCTAAATCTCCAAACT